ATTCAATTTTAGCTGAAATTGATGCAATGTTAGCTGAAATTCAGAAATAAATACCAGAAGGAGGGTCGGGTAGTGAGCACTTGTTTAGAGAATTTTCGCTGGGCCCTCATGAATGTGTGACTTAAATTGTCCACCGTTTTCCTAATGCTATTCTTGAGATCACAATTGAGAGATATATTTTTATATTAATATTTTTTTAGCCACGTATAGATTATTTTTTCTGTCAATATATAACAATGAAAGGTCAGAATAGCATACTCATACGTAAAGATAAACAAAATTGCTTCGAAAAGTGGCACATCCCTATCCACTCGCATATATGCTCGTGTCTAGATTAATATAGTGATCTATTTTTACTTTACCATATATTTATCCCGACAATGGATGTAATGAATTGGCGGGGAGGTTGGAAGCATGGATGTAAGGTCTGTGACGAATGCAATCACCATTCACATCTATATTGTAAGACATGCAAAAAAGTAGCAGAGGGAATATATAAGCGATGTGAATGTGATAACGTGTTAGAATAAATTTCGCATACGTATAAATTTATCTGTATCACCTTCGTTATGCATAACTTATTTGTGAGACGGGGCACAATCTCAAAGTGCCATTTTCATTTTTCTGGAATTAGTAACTAACCAAAGTCGGTCAATTAACTCATGCCACATATGTTCTGACTTTTATTTTGTGGAGAATTCACAAAGTGCCACGCATTACGGGTTTGTATAATAAAAAATTTTAGCCACATATAGATTATTTTTTCTGTTAATATATAACGATGAAAGATCAGAATAACATATCCGCGAATAAAAAAAAGACAACATTATATCGAAATGTGGCACATCTTTAGAGGGTGGAAGCACGGATGTAAGGTTTGTGACGAATGCAATCATCATTCACACCTATATTGCAAAACATGATATAAGCGATGTGAATGTAAAAATTCTATAACTCATGATGCATACACTTTCATAATTTATAGAATTCTTTGCATTATCGATAGAAATTTCTCTGCATGTCTCTACTTCTATCATAGAAATTTTTTGATGAAAAATCCCCCAAAAATGCTAAACTTCTGTAACGATCCAATCATCGCGATCTTTATTTAAGTTCCACCTACACCGATCAGTCAGTTAATGTATCCATATAACACAAGTTAAAAATACAAGTGAAATATTAATGTCTATTACATACAAACAGCAAAATAAATTGATATGGTTGATTCTAAAATTGTTAACTATCCTGTTTTCTCATTACATCTATAGTACTGTTTTTTTTCCGGAGTCTTGTGGGTTTTGTTTAAAGTAATTGTTGGAGGAGTTGTACACCGTTCTGATCTATTAACTTCCCTCCCATCGTCATCAAAATCATCGAGATCATCAAGATCAGATTTCTTTTCTTGCACTAATTCTAATGT